GCACTGAAAAGATGTTTGCAGGACAAGGAATTAACCGTTGTTCAGCCCTTTATTAGGCCCTGTGACTGCTTTTTCACTTTTTTTTCAGCCTGTCCTGAGTGGAGGCAAGTGGCAGGCTGTCAGGATTGCAGGGTCAGCCCGTATCCACTGGGCAGCTCGCTGTGCTGCCACCAGCATTGTGCTGGGCTCTGCCTCCGTGGCATGCCATGGAGCAACTGTATGAACTCAGGGAGGAAAAAGGGTAAAGAATGATGTGAACTCTTTGCAAGATTGTTTGTATTTTCTACCATGTTTTATGTCTTTAATAAACACAATCTCAGTTGTTTGTTCTCTCCACTGGTTGACAAAATGGCAAATCTTACCTGATATAATGGTGGAAAATATAAATAGCTTTCTAGCAATAAGGCTTCATTAATATGTATTGGAAACCTAAAACGGTAGTCAGCTATAAGGGGGAAAATGTACAGAATTACTATGGATTATAATAATTTCAGCAAAGCTTCTAATTTATATATTAAGCTTGCTTAATGGACTTACAGTGCATTGCTCTTTGATCTGAAGAAAAAGGTGCTGAATAATTTATCAAATAAAAAAGGAAACAATCCCATAGCCCAGCCCACACATCACATTCTGCCCTATAATTTACATTTTTTAAGAGATGCCATTTCGAGGCAGGAGAACTGGTTCCTAAAGAATCCTTCTAATATTACAAATGTATTTTCATGAGGTACACTCTGGGGAAAAAATACTAATGAAGGAATGCAATTCTGCAGACAAATATTTCAGATCTATGCCTTCCTCACTGAAGACAGTCATTTCAACTAAATGCCAAAAGGCATTTAACTGTAACATTTGTCAGTGGAATAGGATTGGCTTCAGGTTTCCCTCCTGATTTACAATTGAGTGTTTATTGGGTCTCCTGTACTGTAGTGTGTTTTGTTAACCTCTAAAAAGCCCACGTCCAGCCTGTGTATTAATCACAAGGATGATATCTGTCACAGTAAATTGGGTTGCTCTGGGGTTTTTGTGCTGTGCCAGGAGAGGAAAGGAGAAGGCCAGGGCCTGCTCTGAGGGGCAGGACAGGTTGTGGGGGGCAGCTGCAGGCCGTGGGGTGGATAACCCCTGTCAGCTCCTGGCTCCAGGATGGCTCCCTATGAGCTTTGCTGTTTATTTCTGTGCCTCTGTTTTTCAGCTGAGAAAGGGGGGGACCTGTGTCATGTTGGGTGAGCTGCTGGAGTCACAGGCCCAATGAGGATTTAGTTCATCGTGGCATCATGTTTAATGAGTAATTGTTGGGAGCGCTGGGTCTGGAGTTCCTCACATGGGTTCGTGCCTACCTATTGCCGTCATTCCTCAGTAATCCCAGCTGCTGGTCACATACACGTGGATCAGCCATGCTGGTAATCACAGCTTTGTTGTGACTCTTGACAGGTCTCCCATTCACATTTCCCCCATTTGTCCAAAGCAATGAGTTGTCAAACATTTACTATGGCAGTGTGCAGGGTTTATTCATATTTAAATAAAGCCATTATCCTGGCCTTGAGTTTCAGTAGTTTTCTGCGCTTCCTCTTGAGTATTTCTCTCAGTAGTGCCGTCTAATCAGCTTTAGGTTTTAATTAAACAGCTGTCATTTGCTTCCTAGTTCTGTTGCAACCTGATGATGTATTAAATTTTAATTTAGCCTAGGCTGGATAATAAGTAGATTCCTTCAGACAACAAAGAAATGCTATTAGCAGGTTACAGTTGTAATTAAGAAGAGCTCTGCTGAAGTGCTAATGCATTCAGGTACAGAGAAGGAACTGGAGATAAACACGCACACAATTATTATTCAGGGATAGTGCTTGCAATATGATTGTTTAGCTTCCACCCGGGCTGCTTGAATTCCAGGCTTTGGTCAAGATCTAGCATTATACACCATTGTTGGAAGAAATCAGAAAGGATTTCCAGTTTTTCAACTGGGCCCTTTCTGTGTCAGCAGTTAGAGGTTTGTGCTGGTGGTCCCCAAGTGTTTTTCCAGATGTTTCAGTGATGCTGAGCCAAGCATGTAAATATAAAAGCCTGTGCATATAAATCAGCATTATTACCCCTCTCAAGATTTCAAACTGTGCTAGTGGTAAACAGCACAGGTATCTCAAATGCAGTAACATTTTTCCTGTAGTAAACCTTAATCATGGAAATACAAAACAAACCTAACAGAATCTCTTGAAGGTCCAAAAAATAAATAATAATAAAAAGAAGCCTGCTTATAAATCTAATGGACAGTCAATTAGTTCAGTTCTGCCTTCATATTTCTTCCTCAGAGGAAATATATTTTTTCAGTCTATAAATAACCAGCTCTTAAAAAGGTCTTTACACTGCCTATTATACTTGCGTAACACCTGATCCAAGCATCAGGCCTCTGAAATATTGATTTATGTAGTAGAATTGCTTATCAGTGAAGTGTAGTTTCAGTGATGCAGCAGTGGCTAATAGGCACTGTGGGCATCTGTACGTACGGGGATGGGGGAAGAGTCAGGACAATACTTGTGTCTGGAGCCAGGTGAGCACATTGCAGAGCACCCACAGGTAGAGGGTGGCAGGGTGTCACTTCTAAGACCCTTTCTCTCACACTAAGCTTCACAGAGAGTTTACAGAAGAATGCAAATCTCTTTATAAACTTTGCATTATCCTTCAGAGCATCAAAGTATGTTCTCAGCTTGGTAGCTAAGCAGCACTTAGAGTTAAAGGAGGCTCGAGGTTTTGTTTATCCATTGTCACACAGGAGGGTTAACATGATGGTGGTACAACAAACGACACAAAAAGCAAAGGAGAAATTATTTCAGGCCTGCTGAGAACCTGATTCCAAGTCCACTGAAGTCAAAAGAAGTCTTTCATATATGACTCAGTACGGTTTTGGATCAGACTGTAATTGCATCCAAGTGCCACCTGCCCCTGACACGTAGGAGTTATGTAGCTGTGCTAAGAGAAGGTGGTTCAGAAGTAGAATTAGTCACGTGTTCATTGTTTGTGACCTTGGCAAAAATACTATCCCCTTGAAAAGTGTCTGTTGTTGAAGAATGGCCTGCTGACAAACTGGGTGCATTCTGACACAGAAGCACCATGTCTGCATCACATATGTGGCATGTTTATATCAAATTGATGGCCTAGGGGTATTTGGAATATTTGTCATTGGTTTGGCAAAATCTAACTACCTCTTCTTGACATACTTGTGGATGAAACACCTTCAGTTTGTCTTACACAACCTCTTTCCACCTGAGGTGTTGCTGATCGTTTTTACATGGTAGTGGAGTTTCTTAGTTTTGTTCAAACGTTAGCCTTTGTAAAGGTTTTACAGTTGTTCATTTTTCACTTACTTCTCTGTTTCCCAGCGTCCTTCTGTCAGGGATGGCAGCTGGTTATAAATTATCCCATTCAGCAAAGACAAAAACCAGTCACTGGGGTAAAACATCTGGTTTGTGCCTTGCAAAGGACAGGACCAAGATGTATTAATTTCATGCGGCGTTATTCAGAAAAGCATCTCTGTTCAGGACAACACTAAAATCTACTTAAATCACGCTGAAATCTGTGTCAAGTTGAGCCACATACCTTTAGTGCTGTTCTGAACAGAAATGGACTCAAGTCCACGTTTAAGTGCTTTTCTGGAACATGACTGCCCATAAAGCTCTAGTAGACTATCAGTTAGCTGGCACTAGTGTTATTAGTACTTCAACTCATTTAATTCAAGGTGCTTTTGTAGAAGTTTCCGAATATTGATTAATAATACATCTTAGTTGCAAGTGTTTATTGGTCTTCTCCAGCTGTCCTCAGCTTGTGGTCAATGCCCATTATTTTCTATCAATCTAGCTAGCAGACAGAAGCAAATGATAGTGAATATATCTCCCTATGCAAGCTGCCATCAAATTTTTCACTAAAATCAATTTTTTATTCCTGCAATTCTAATAATGGAATTTAAAGTTAGATTAGTTGGAAGCAACTTTTTTTTTTCTTTTTTTTTTTTTTTTACCCTAGCTGGCAAGCAATTAGTTTCACAGAAATTGAAAAATTAAAAGCAGAGGGATTTAAAGCAGTATTTCCTCTCACAAGTTTTTCTAGAAGGCTGAGCTGAATCTTTTCTGAAGCACAGATCATTCCTTGTTCTGCGTGTGTATGAAATGTTGGACCTGCAGTAAGGACTGCTTAAGCGGAGCCAAATTCCTCCGTAGGCCTTTGGAGGCTGTTCCCCTCCAGTTTGCAGATCTGGTTTGCTTATGCAAGGCAAGGACCGCTGTAGCAGCTCACTTGGATTAATTAATCAAGCAGCAGCCATACTGAGATGCAGAGGAAGTCTGTGTTAATGGAGTCATTAGAGTGCCAGCACTGTGAATTCATCAGGATTAGAGATAAATGTGGTAAAACATCACTAGGTGGGATTTTGATGGGGAAAGATTAAAAAAAGTTGTATATGGCATTGCTTAGTTTGTAATACCCTATCTCATGCACAGTGTTTCTCATTGTGCATTTATGTCCAGAAAAGGGACAACTGGCTCAGCTGAGAACTCTTTCAGCTGAAACAAAAAGGAAAAAATGCTGTTATTGTAATGCCTGGGAATCACCTCCCAAACCACTGCCATGGTTTGGGACATAAGGGTGCGATGAGGTGCTGCCACTCTGTGGAGATAGTGCTTGAAAAGCGCTGTGGTTCTGCCACTCTGCAGGCATGTCTTCACACGTAATTGCGTGACAGATTTCATTTCCACAGCAGCCAGACCCATAAATTGGCTCCAATAGAGTAAATCTGTATGTCTGTCAAAACCAGAACTTGGTGGTCCAGACACAACTTCTGGCTTAAGAAATTGTTACACCACTGATTGCAGGGAGCTCACAGGGTATGTCCAAGGAACTGTTGCTCCCCATATCTGTCCCTCTCTGAGGAAGGCTTTTGGTTTTTTGGTCTGACCCCTGCAGCTTCCGTATGGTTTTTGCTTTTGTAACACTCATCCTTTAATTGTGTGTGCATACAGGACACGGAAGTCCTTAACACAGCCATCCTGACGGGCAAAACAGTGTCCGTTCCAGTCAAGGTCGTTGCTGTGCAGGAGGATGGGTCGGTGGTTGATGTTTCGGAGTCCACTGAGTGCAAATCAGCTGATGAAGATGTCATAAAGGTAAGGCACCTACAAGAGGTGGGCATGAGGAAAATGTGAGTTTTCTCCCTTGTCTTCACCACCAGCACCACCATACTGGGTCCTAGCCTACATTCTGGATTTAATGTGGAGTGGTTGTTTTATACAATCATAGCTATTTCTGCAGTGCTAGGTATTTATCTAGTGCTAGGTATAGTAGCAAGGCTGTATATGCTTCTTACTGCATCACCTACTTTACGCTCAGGAGTCTCTTACAAGTACTGAACTTTACTAAAATCCAGAGGAGCATGACAGAGAATAGAAAATAACAAAGATATTGGAAAAATCTTTAAAACAAAAGCTGTGAACTGTTATTTTTCTTTTTAAATATAATGTGTTCAGCTGGTTCTCATTCCACAGCATTGAGATGAAAACAGCTTTAATTTAACTTTATCAAGACATTGACTGTATGACTTCTGACACATTGTGTGGCTTTCAGCTTTTAGCTCATTATTTTTAGGCATAAAAGAGGTACTTTTGAACATGTTTAGTAGATTTATTTGATTTATTATGTGGCTTGAGGCTGTTTTTTGTTGTTTTAAATGAACAATGGAATTGAGTATAATGGCTTCTATATAGGGTTGTTTTCTTGTATTCTCTATTAATTTCTTTCAGAAAGATGATTTGTCTCAATTCTAGGAAAATACAGTATATTATATAAAAATGCTGTAAAAATAGGATTGTATACTCATCCTTTTTTTTGCATATAGTAATCCCATAACCTGTAGATCTTATTATAAACTCTCTCTGGAGCTCTGAAAAAAGAAGTTTGTCATATGTCTGATAATTCTGTCATGTCTGGATGTATCCCAGGCCTGACCCAGTCCCTTTTATAACTACTTTTAAAAGGTCTATTCAGATTGCATTTCAAACCCACATCCTATACCTGTGTATTTTCAACCTATCAATGTAACCTCTTTCTAGATAAGACTGCAGAGGTCCTAACAGATAGCTTGTACTTTATCAGATAATTTTTTGTGTTCTGTGTCTGGCTAAAGAAATGCACAGAGCAAAGCTGTCGTTTATTTTGGAGACCATATGCTGGAATGAAAAATTCACCTTCTTACTTTTGACAACTCTGAATGAGCTTATTATGGATATTTATATACTCTAAAACAAACATCTCATTGCGTTTTATTTCCAACAACAAAGAAATTCCTTTGCAGTTAAAGTGCTTACAGAACAACTGTACATTTCATAGAGATACCCTGTTTCTGAGACTCTCAGATGAGAGATGACATCCACTTGATCCTAAGTAGCTATAGGAAAGACATGATAGGTTTGGGAAAAAGTCTTGGTCAGACAACTTCTGCTTGTTTCCAAGTTTTTTCATGAATGTTTTTATCTCTGTTTATCATGAAGGCAAATTATTCATAAATAAGATTCAAGTTACTGAGAAAAGGCGTGTGTGCAATTGAATCCTCAGGGACAGAGTTATGCCTAGCACTTCTCAGACCTCAAAACATTTTGCAAAGTAAATCAGTGTTATAATCCCTTTTCCTGAAAGTGACTGTTCCAATGTTTGCCCTTGGCCAGTGATGGAAGAGGTTTCTTGAATCTCTAGCCTGAGCTCCAGCTTCTCTACTTATGTTATATATTAGATGGGGAAAGAAAAATCACATTTTGTTTTTCTGGTAAGCAAATTTCCTTGAAAGCCCTTACCAGAAAGGACATGAAAAAGGACATGAATGAATATCTTTGTTTATGACTAATGTAATTGTCATAAAAGCAGTTCCTTTTGATAAATCTTGCCTTTTTTTTTTTTTTTTTTTTTTTTTTTTTTTGCTATTTACCATACAGCTCTTTGTATCTGATTAGTGGCTATTCTTTATCAGTTTACAATGAAGTGCTCATATTATAAACTCAAGCACCAAGTTATATATCATCAATATATTATTGCTCAGACTGTCTTTTCTTCGTACTTCAAACTTTTTTGAAGTACGAAGAAAACCAGGTACTGATCTAAAAGATAGTGTATGTGGACTTTTGTTTCTATTAATTGGATTTCTAGTATTTCTAGGACTTGCTGTAGTTGGAGAATGCTAGACTGAACCAGATACAAAAAGGTCAGGAAAAGGACTCCCCTTCCACTTCCACTAATAAAATTAGTATCTGCACATGTTAGGGAGATGTTGCATTTCAAAACACTGCTTGTTTAAAGTCCATTTAGTTCGATCAGCAGTTGTCCATATGGATGTCCTGTCAAAGCTGGGCATGAAGTTGTTATGGTTCCTGAATTTAAGAGGTCCACTGAAGCTTGCAGCTAAATAAAACTTGACATGACCTCTCTGAGCAGAGACAAGATTACCGGTTGCATTTGTGGATTTATGCACTTCAAGAAAGCAAACCTCTTGCCCTCTGACCATCTTTATTTCTTGATTTTTTCAAAATGGGTTGTATTTCCAGGTGGAAGTAGACCTGTTCCAAAGCACCTTCAAGTTGATGAGGGTCCTCCCACTTTCAATGATTTGGGGAGAGCAGACCAAAACACTGGGCAAAATTCTGCACAGGTTTTACAAGATTTGCACTGTATTTTCCCCCACCCCTCTCACCTGGTATCCAAGGCTATTGGTTTAACGTATGAAAACAAGAGGTCTGAGTGATAAAAGGGTCTCAAAATGGGAGTAATGTTATTTTTGTGAAAATTACAATGCTGTTATAATGGATTTTAGTCACAAATTACTGAGAGGTACTCTCAGACTGAATGCTATTCAGGCATAATTTTTAACTGGAAATGCATGTATTGGTTGCAAGATTGAATCCATAACAATTAATTAGCCAAGTTAAAATTTAGTACAAGGTTTGTGTGCCCGTATTTTTTCATAAAAATACATATTTCCTTTACAAGCCCCTTGGGTAAACTCAATATTGACTTTGCTTCCAGATTTGCGTTGCCTTTTCTATATATATACTGCTAAACCCTCTAATAAGGGTTGTCAGACATTGTGGATGTAATTGCCTTATCTTGAGCTTCTTTTCACTGTTAATTCTGCCTTTATTGTATCTTTTGTAATCGGAGAGATATTCATATTCTTTTGGGCAGAATAGACTGTTGTATTCCTAAACTTTTATTTCTGTTTAATAGCTAATGATTTAATAGACAATTAAGGAAACAGTTCTTTGATCACTGCTCTAACACCATTATTTTCAATTAAGACACAACGAACTGAATCTAGCTTAAATAGAAACAGACTTTGGCCCAGGCTATTATGTATTTATACAAAATTTGCTTATCTGCGCAGCTACCTAGATATCAAATTGATAAAAATACTACTCAGAGATGGTCAAACAGATAGATGATAAGTGATTTATTAGTAGACAAAAGATGTGAATCCCTGCTGTCCAAAGACATATATCTCCTCCACATAACACTTTAATAGCTTCCCAGAAAGAGACTATTTCAGTCCTTATTTTTCAAAGCCTACATAATTAGTGGTAAATATAGTGAAATACACCCATTACGTCTTGACCTTGCATTTTCCAACCTTAGTGTGACTAGATCCTCAGCGGAGTTGCCCAGATCAACTTGTTCATTGGACTGCCATCCCTGGTCCCTGGTCCCTACAGTTGCTGCTCCCTACAGTTTGACACAGGTCATAATAGTACCAACCATTTTACTTTGAAATGGCTTTAAAATTGTAAAAAAACATTTAAAAAAATTAGATGGAAATATTGCTCTGAGTCGGTGAAACTCTGATGTTTATTCCGTCATTGAAAAGGGATATTTAATGTTTTTGGCATTTGAAAGCAAAGATTGCCTTTATGATTAAGGCATGGAAATGCTTCTCAGCATTAATTTCCATATCTTTTGCTGATTTCCTGTATGACTGTGGGAAGTCAGTCATTCCTTTTGGAATCTCGCTTCCTTATCTGCAAACAAGGCTGAGAAAACATCTTTTGCCAGCCTCAGCTTGCCTTATGTAATTTTTCAAGCTACTGTTGACAAAATCCTTATCTCCACAAGTCCCATTAACTTCAGTGGTCTTCCCACTTGAAGGACTTCTCCTAAGGAGTCCTGCTTCTCCAGCAAACCAGAGCTAAATAGGGTGGTGAAGCTGAAAAAAAAAAAGAAGTGATAGTAACTTGATAAATTTATGCACAAGTTACTCGGCTACTCTGGTGATGGGTAAAACACTGAGATAAAGGAGCTCTAGCATGGTAGGATGTGCCTTTTCTATATGTGTGCTGAACCATGGGGCCTCAGCCTTCACAAGTGGGGAAGAAAAGGATTAAAGCAGTTGTATCATGGCAGAGGCGTTCTTTGCCCATCCGTCTTATAAGCATGGCTGAAGTTTTGCTGGCCTGTTAAAGTGGGTTTTGCTTGTTCTCCGTCATCCTTTAGGCCATAGTTAGAGGGAAGTCAAATTAGACCAATGGTAGTGGTGGAGTCACGATGATTGTATTGCAGAGGAAAGTCTAACCTGAGGGGCTCTGGCACTGTCAATCTTTACAGGTTCTTAGATGCTCCAAGTAAGGTTCATGCATTACTTTGTCCTTGCTATGGAAGTGTCTTTAAAAGCCTGAACTGTAGTAATTTCACATGAAGAAAATTTCTGAAAACATTTTAGTTACGTGGTAGTCACAAATATCACCCACAAAGCAGCATCAAGAGAGAAAATTATAATGAGGACAGCTTCTTATTCCAAATGTTTATCTCAGTAGTGTACAAATGAAAGAGAGGCAGCTGCCCAATTAATTCATTCTTAGATTAGTCATATTTTCATGTTCTTTGCAAGTTACGCAGAAATTGATTGGTGGTATAAATTAATGTCCGCAGTAATTCAAATGGCTTCCATGGAGTTACACCACGGGCTAATTTAGTCTAATTTTTTGTAACAGAAAAGGCCCTCAATTGAACAGAAGGGAGCCAGAGGGCCTCATCTTCCTCATTTCTGCCCACATGTAAAGTGCAATGGAAACAGGCTGAATGTGCCCAGGCAGAGGTATACATTAAAAACAATGGTGCTTCAGTAATATACCGT